TAAGGCAGGTACATATATACCTGTATGTATTAACATTATTTACCTGTATGTCAGGTACATAATTAATGTGGGTGCTTGTCTGATCGATTGGTATAATATGTGAGTCTTTATTTTTTATTGATTAAATTGTATTTTATCTATATATTAGGAATATTATCAAGGAAAAAAAATTTAAAATTCAAAATTTGGAATTCAATTTCAAGGAAATAATACATTAAATTTAGATTTTCAATGTGTTTTCCTTATTTACCTTAAAGAGTAAAATCGACACAACAAAAAAGTAATAAATGTCAAAGGACCTACATCTAAAACCAAAAACACGAGGACTAGATCCAATGACAGCTAATCGTTTTGGACCTAGATCTAAGAACCCCTATTTTAAATGTCATAGTTTTAAAAAAAATTTATTTTGTATTCATAAATAATTTGAAGTTATAACTTTAACTGAGTTGAGTCATTAATTTTAAAATAATCATGATATTTTATTTTTGTTAAACACATGAAATTGCTTAATTTTAAAATAAAGCCGATTTTCCAACAAAAAAAGGAATCCCAAATAGGACCTAAATACTCTTAACCTAAAAGAGTACAAATCCCCACAATAGGTTTAAATGCCAACCAAATTAGGATTGAATTGGATTTCACGAAAAAGATTTGTCAAACATTCCATATAACGATCAAATTGTATTTGATTAGATTTTGAACTTCTGTACTCAAATAAGAAAGATACAAACTTACAAAGTACCTTTTCTTCCAGAAGAAAAAAGCGTGGATTGTAATTTGGAAATAATCACAATCAATATGGATTCAGAGATGGAGTGGGCTCCACCCAAGTGTATACGCGTAAAAGTGAACGGCTGATGGTCGACCCCCGGAGAGAACAAAGACCCCAAAAGGAAGCAACCGACTAACCGTAGGAAAACCCAACGACGCGCGGATTGGTAGAATCTAAATCAAACTTGACCACGGGTCTTCCAAAGCAACATGGAAACAATCCAGGCCGTCCGTTGCTCCCTACATCCCACGGCTCCAAAACTCTAGGGTTATAGAACGTTCTGGAATTCTAACGCTCCCAACGCTATATAAACCCCTCCGATACTCGGCCTCTCATCACTTAACAAACCCTAGCAGCTAGTAGTTTTTCATCCTCTTCTTTTTGATTTATTTTCGTTGATATATTCGTCGACGAAAACCTAGAATATACAATGGCCGGCAAAGGAGAGGGACCAGCCATCGGTATCGATCTCGGCACCACCTACTCCTGCGTTGGTGTATGGCAACACGACCGTGTTGAGATCATCGCCAATGACCAGGGAAACAGAACGACGCCGTCTTATGTCGCTTTCACAGACACCGAGCGTTTGATCGGTGATGCTGCTAAGAACCAGGTCGCCATGAACCCCATTAACACCGTATTCGGTAAGATCCGAGTTCCTTGCTCTGTTTTCTTTCAGTAACTTATAGATCTGTATTGTTGTTTATATTAGTTTATGGATCTGTATTGGTGTTTACAGTAGTTTTTAGATCCATATTTTTGCTCATCATAGCTTATAGATCTTGTTTACAGTGACTGGTATGCTAAAGATCTGTTTAAGCTAGATTTCTTTTGTTATTTGACTGTTTGATTGGTAAATTTATTAGGTAGTTACTTGTGTAGATCTGTGTTTACATGCTTCGTGTTGCTGTATCTGGTTATTGACTTAAAATTAGATCTTTAGTTGGGTCTTCGAATACTGGATTTTAAAAAAACCAAGTTAGATTAATGGATCTGATAAAATTGTCTATTTGTTTTCGAATTTAGTTTAATTTAGTTATAATTAAATAAACTACAATTCCTTTCTATGTTGATGAACAACTTTATAGATTAAATGTTATCAGTTTTGGTTATTATGATTTGCATACAAATTTATTTTTTAAAGTATGAATTGTATACATAAACAGAGAACCTTTACGTTCATAATCTATTGTATGCAGACAATGAGTTGTTTTTAGCTCGAATTGAATATGATGATAGTGAATAAATGCATCATGATCGGATATTGGTTTGTTTCATGCTAGTTCAGCTGCCAATTTAATAAAATAAATTGGATAAATAAGTCTTTTGCTTGGATGATTTCAATTATATGTTTTGTCTTGATATGTGTGTAGTATGATTTTGGTTAAGTACGGATAAGAATTGGTTCACCCGGTTGGACACCATGATAGGCTAATCATTGATTTGTTACCATTGCAGATGCTAAGAGGTTGATTGGTCGTAGATTTTCTGATGCATCTGTCCAGAGTGACATGAAATTGTGGCCATTCAAGGTCACCCCTGGACCTGGTGACAAGCCCATGATCGGTGTCTCTTACAAGGGAGAAGACAAGGTCTTCGCTGCTGAGGAGATCTCCTCCATGGTCCTTATCAAGATGCGTGAGATTGCTGAGGCTTACCTAGGCAGCACAATCAAGAACGCCGTGGTCACAGTCCCTGCCTATTTCAACGACTCTCAGAGACAGGCCACCAAGGATGCCGGTGTCATTGCTGGAATCAATGTCCTCCGTATCATCAACGAGCCCACAGCAGCTGCCATTGCCTATGGTCTTGACAAGAAGGCCACCAGTGTTGGTGAGAAGAATGTCTTGATCTTTGACCTTGGAGGCGGTACTTTTGATGTGTCTCTTCTCACCATTGAGGAGGGTATCTTTGAGGTCAAGGCCACAGCCGGAGACACCCATTTGGGAGGTGAAGATTTTGACAACAGAATGGTGAACCACTTTGTTCAGGAGTTCAAGAGGAAAAACAAGAAGGACATCAGCGGCAACCCAAGAGCCCTCAGGAGGTTGAGGACTTCATGTGAAAGGGCGAAGAGAACCCTCTCATCCACTGCCCAAACCACCATTGAAATTGACTCTTTGTATGAGGGTATTGATTTCTACTCCACCATCACCCGTGCCAGATTCGAGGAGCTCAACATGGACCTTTTCAGAAAGTGTATGGAGCCCGTCGAGAAGTGTTTGAGAGATGCCAAGATGGACAAGAGCACAGTCCATGATGTCGTGCTTGTTGGTGGATCAACCAGAATTCCCAAGGTGCAGCAGCTTCTTCAGGACTTCTTCAACGGCAAGGAGCTTTGCAAGAGCATCAACCCCGATGAGGCTGTCGCCTACGGTGCCGCAGTCCAGGCTGCCATTCTCAGCGGTGAGGGCAACGAGAAGGTCCAGGACCTTCTTCTATTGGATGTCACCCCACTATCTCAAGGTTTGGAAACTGCCGGAGGTGTCATGACTGTTTTGATCCCCAGAAACACAACCATCCCCACCAAGAAGGAACAGGTCTTCTCAACATACTCCGACAACCAGCCCGGTGTGTTGATCCAGGTCTATGAAGGAGAAAGAACCAGAACCAGGGACAACAACTTGCTCGGAAAATTCGAGCTTTCCGGCATCCCACCTGCACCCAGAGGCGTCCCCCAAATCACTGTTTGCTTCGACATTGATGCCAACGGTATTTTGAACGTGTCGGCCGAGGACAAGACCACCGGACAGAAGAACAAGATCACAATCACCAACGACAAGGGCAGGCTCTCAAAGGAGGATATTGAGAAGATGGTCCAGGAGGCAGAGAAGTACAAGTCTGAGGATGAAGAGCACAAGAAGAAGGTTGAGGCCAAGAACGCCTTGGAGAACTATGCCTACAACATGAGGAACACCATCAAGGACGAGAAGATTGGGGCCAAGCTGCCGCCAGCAGACAAGAAGAAGATCGAGGACTCGATCGAAACTGCCATCCAGTGGCTAGACACCAACCAGCTCGCAGAGGCCGATGAGTTCGAAGACAAGATGAAGGAGTTGGAGAGCATCTGCAACCCAATCATCGCCAAGATGTACCAGGGTGCTGGTGCTGACGGTGCTGGCCCTGTTGATGATGAAGCTCCAGCTGGTGCAAGCGGCCCTGGACCCAAGATTGAGGAAGTCGACTAAATTTCTGCTATGGTTTAATTTAATTTCGGAATTTTAGGTGTTTTTGAACTTAATATTTTTATGCTTTTTTCATATTTTTGCCTTGGAAGTTATTTATCAAGGCCTTTTTTAAGTTTCTTTTTAAATTTGCGGAACCTATAGGCACCGTGGTATTTTTTCCTGGATCTCTTTGCACCGGGGCCTTGTTATTTTTTGGATCAATTATAATTTACAAGTTTACTTTTTAGCCAAAGCTTTCAAGGAAATTTATTATAATTTACAAGTTCATGCTCAAATTGACAACGTAAATAACCTAATTAATGTGTTTGAATAAAATTACGGAAATTATTATTATGTCATGGTGTGCCTGGATCTAACAGCACACGAAGGCTATTGCAGCATGTGAAGGAGAGGAAGACACCTGGTGTAGGAGTCAAAGTTCATGTCGACACGACATGATCTCCTTCCTCTCCTTTCATTTATTTGTTTGTTTGTTTTATGGTAAACAGAATGGTAAATGCTAACCCTCTTATTCATTAGTTTAAACATAGTTAGCGAACTCTTTGGGGACCACTTTCAGGTTATCAAGCTTCCAAGCGCTTTTCTGAGAAGGGTAGTTGAAAAATGCTTCTAACAGAAGCGCACTTATAATAATCAGAATTGCATAAGTACTTCTGTACCGGCATGCTGAACGTGGTGGGATCCAGGTGTCAAGCAAAGTGTGGGCACCGAAAGGCGGACAAATGGAAAATTGACATGAAAGTTGGAAAGGTCGTTTGAGAGAGAGGCGAGACGCCATCCTTGACCCATTCTAGTCTTTCTACCATCTCCCTCTGCCTGGCTCTTGAAGCATGCTATGTAATAATAATGAATATTCCTCAAAATTGACCAACTTAAGGACTGATTTGTTATTCAAGGTTGGTAGCTCAAGGGTTACACGGAATGAAAAGGAGTTCATAGACAGGTAGAAGAAGTAACTTGGGATATTTTTTTTCCCAAAGTAGACTATGACTGCCACAATTTGGGATATTATTTAGAAGTAATGTGGTTGGGCAATGGCCACACATAAGGGTCAAGAAAGATGCTTATGCTTTTTAACACTTTGGAAATCTCACTACAGTCACCACTCACCGCTGGATGAGTTAAAGATTCTAGTTTTAAGACTGAGTGGGTGGTGGTGAGGTGAGATGACAACATAACTTACTCTGTAAGATGTTATAAGTCATAGATAGCTCATAATCCACAATCATGGCAATGACATCTATCTAACTCTTAACACATGTTCTGCTACAATACAAGGCTTTCAAGTCTTCATCACCCCGCATTAAACAAACAATGGAAAGAAAGAAAGAAAATACACTACTTGCACAAATAAATACTTGAAAATAATTATTTGACAAAAGTGACAACTAAAGTAACATAGTTTTAATACATTGTTGACTGTACCATCCTTTGTGTATTTGTTTCTTGCTGCTCAACTAGTCGATTTTTTATTTATTTTTAAGTATAAGCGATAGTCTAAATTAGAAGGGATGGGGGATTTCGCATTCACACACAACTAAGATACCATAGGGGTTCGAACCTGATACCTCTGATCTGCAAGTCAAAGCATTTTTCCACTGGGCTAGACCCCGTTGACAACTGATGGATTCTTATTACTTAATATGATGATAAACAAATTCCTTCAAGAGTACAAGCTCGTTTGGGACTGCTTCTCTAGGAAGCACTTCTACTTATAAGCACTTTTACCAAAAGCGCTTTTATTATAAAGACGTTGAAATTTTCATAAGAAATTGAAGTGCTTCTTGGAAAAGCACTTGGGAGTGCTTCTTGAAGAACCCATGGCAGGTGCTTTTCTAGAAAGCATTTTTATGACCCAAAAACGCTTCTAAACTTTTCTGCCAAACGCTATCAGAAGCGTTTTTGATTGTCAGAAAGGGCTTTTAATTGTTCCAGAAGCACTCTCAAACGGGCCCTTAAGTTGACTCTAGGTACTGCCTGGCTGAGGTTTTCAACTTGGATTATGGATTTACAAATTAATTTCTGCTATGGAAGTGAGAAAGAAGCAAACAAAGTTCAGTTTCTGGAACCAAACATAAATCAAGAATGGTTTAGCATGTATATTTAAATCAAGAAGTGAGAGTCAAAGCTAACCAGATGCATAGATTAGTAGCAAAAACTGCAAAGACAAATGTGAGAAGCACATTCTTTTTCCTTCATAAAATACACAGAACGGTACAAAGTTAGTAGAACAATGAAGCAGCAACCATGACAATAACCCTTACATAAACTCTATAAAATGCCTATCTCAAGTCAACATAAGATCATTGCCTCCAAGGTGAGGGCGGAGGCAAACACGAACCTCATGTTCTTCTGGTCCAACGCGGAGTTTTGGAACCATAATCTCTAGCACAGAACCTGGCCCGTCGTAATAAGCTTCTATGTTAGCGTCTTCAGGAATGCGGGTGGACAGTGGGATTTCTCTGACAAACTCTCCTGGAGGACAATGCTCAGAGGATGGATCTGTAAGCCTGAAAGTCCGATCATGTCTCTTAATGAATGGCATTCGAGATGTGCTCATACAAGACACCTTAATGATACCATGAGTAAGAGTATTCCTCCAAGAGACTTTCACCCTTTGGAGATCCACAAAGGGTAAGCTGATAATGATCAAATAACCTGCATCATCCTCGTAGATTGTTTTTGCAGCAGTAACAGGTCCATGAACATTCTTCATTACACCACTAAAGTGATTTAGCCATTGCGACCCATTTGCGTGGATTTCCATATCTGGGATTCGATCAGATGGAGGATTAACAGCCAGGAAGCAATCGTCATCGTTCCCATGGGGAAAAAATTCCTTCCTCCTCTTGCTGACAGGAGACAGGTCCATTCCATCAGAATTGTTGTTGTTAGATGGTTGCGTAGACAAATTCAGCCCGGATCCATTCAGAAGTTTCTTTGAGTGGGAATTTGGCACATTCTTTAGTGGAGCCGGTGGCCTCTCAAGCTCAAAATCTGTATTTGGAAGGTTCCTCCATGAACTAAAGTCACCTGCTTCCATAGGGATTGTGAAGTTCACATCCCGCCCAGTCAGTTCCATCCACCTCTTACGCTCGTCCTCATCAAGGCCAATGAGATTAGGTGCCCGAACAAGTTCAATCCCGTGCACACACTGGGGGTTTGAAAGACCCCTATAATGCTTCCGCTGCATCCTGTGAGATCGAACAAAACCCTTGTCAACACTAAATGGAAATGGACGCTCCCCTTGGCGGGAATGTCCATTCATGTAACTCCTTAGCTGCATCTTACCCAATGCATTCTCAGGCCTCTCTTTGAAAACCCACATGTACATATTCTCCATGTCATGCTGAACCATGAAAACATCAAGCTTGAGATCAGACTTCTCAAACCCATTAACCCCATTGCTGTCCCTGATAATTTTGGCCTTTGATTTCTCACTCAATGCAGGCTTGAAGTAGAAACTGAAGAAAAACCAAGCACCCCATATGCTGTCTACCCGCTTGGCGCATTTCCGTCCAACCACCTTGGGGATGGTAAGTAAACTCTCGGTCTCGTAAACCTGTGGACCAAGCCCAACATCTAGAATATCACAAGGGTCCGAATTCCATGACGGTGGAGGTGGGCTGCGCTCAGCTGACAGGGGTAAATTGATATCAGGAGGACGGGAAAGTATGATTTGCCGATTCATCTCCAAATCCAATTCGTCGTGAGAGGAAGCACTGGAATCCATGGACAAAAGCGTGGAAGGATGATGATTCTCCATTGACAAGGCTGTGAGCAGAGAATCTCCCATTTCAGCTGAACAACTCCTGGGTGGGTATTGTTGCTGGTGGATTGAATATTGCCATTTCCCAAAAACAATTCAAAGAAATAACCTTATAAAGACCTTCATCATATCAATCCCCACTATATCTCCCCTCCATCAAAACCCTAGATTTATCAAATCAAATAACAAATTCCTCACACACCCAAATCAAGAATTCAACAAAATAAAACAAGATTCAATAACCCAATAAACAAAACATAAAAAGAAATAAACTTTCTATGTAAAAAGAAAGAGAGAGTGAGACCGTGAGAGAAAGATCTATAAGAAAAAAAATGATGGTATATGGTTTATAAAATCTGTGTAAAAATCTCTTCAATCTCAACCAATGGAGAGAGAGAGAGATTTCTAAAACGCTATAGAAAAACTATATCCAACCCTAGCCCAAGAATCTCCTGAATTCCTCCAAACCCAGGTGGGAGACACTGAATCAGAACCATCAAATCCATAAAATAAAATTTTAAAAAATATCTAAAAAAGCAAACCCCAACCAAAAAAGAACAAAATTTTATCCAAAAAGACCCAGAAGAAGAAAATCGAAGGGGATCTTCAAAGAGAGTACCTTTTGGGATAAGCATCGGGGAACCGGAAGCAAGAGGGACCTCCAGAGGCGACCATGATGCTCATCTCCAGCGTATCATCAACTACCATATTCGCTTTTCCCTATTCCAGTTTTTATTTTCTATTTTTATTTCTAATTTTAATCTTAAGTTTAATTAATTTTTTGGCCTATTTTGCCGTCCAAAAATACAGAGGCATCGGAGAGAGAGAGTGAAAGAGGGCTAAATTGGATTTAGGTTTTTTGGGGTGAGAAATGAGATTGAGAGTAGGAAGAGAAAACAGAGTCGTGTGGGAGCATCTGGTTATAAAGAGAGAGGTGGTGGGTTAAAGCCCGCACTAGATGTCACCCATTTGGCCTACCGTTACCCGTCGGGACGGTGTTTGAAGTTGTTTATAAAAATATATATATATATATATATTTTCTTCTTATTATGTAAATAGGAGCTCTTACATTCCTGCCAATAACAATATTATATGTATGTAAAAGTTTTTCTTTTTGTGTTTTGATCTTTTTTGCCTATGCATCAAATTGTTCTTCGCATGAAAGAGGAGTATCTCCTTACAAAGAAAGAGGCAAGTAAAATCCTCTTTTTTGTCACATACGATATTGAGAGAGTAGCAAATCGAACCTCGAGATTTCACGTGCAGAATAAATGCTTTTAAGTACTATAGTGATAAGCCTCTTGTTCTAAGAGTTATTCTTTTTATTTATCACGTATATAAGCAGTGTGTCTATAAATTAGAATAATTTAAAATATCGTTTTGTCAAAAGAAAAGACGGACAAAACAAACTAAAAATGATAAGTTCTCTGGGACGGAAAATTCCAATTAGGTCATCCAATACG